GGGAGGGGATTGGGAGGGACTGGGAGGGAACTGGGAGGGACTGGGATGGACTGGGAGGGACTGGGATGGACTGGGAGGGGACTGGGAGGGGACTGGGAGGGGATTGGGATGGACTGGGAGGGAACTGGGATGGACTGGGTGGGAACTGGGAGTAACTGGGAGGGGACTGGGAGGGGTTTAGGCGATACTGGGACGTACTGGGATGCGTTTGGGGGGGTAACTGGGAAGGGTTTTGGGCCGTACTGGTCCGTACTGGGATGGGGTTTGATCTATACTGGTTTAAACTGATCCATGCTGGTCTATACCGGTTTATACTGGTCCGTAGTGGTCCATACTGGTTTATACTGGTCCATACTGGTTTATACTGGTCCATACTGGTTTATACTGGTCCATACTGGTTTATACTGGTTTATACTGGTGCCAGGTCCTTCGTGTTCCGGCCGCAGCCGCCGGAGCTGCGGGAAAGGGGCGGGGCCCAGACCGGTGGCATCGACCTCTTCGTTACCCAGGAGCGCGTGCTCTTCCTGGACACCCAGGTCATTAATTAGCGCTAATTAGCCTTTATTAGCATTAATTAGCGTCCCTCCCTCCCCGCCGCCTCCGCCTTGAGCTTTTATTTGCCTTTAATTAGCATTAATTAGCATTAATTAGCTTCCCTCCCTCCCCACTGCCTCCTTGATCTTTTTTATTTTCCTTTAATTAGCGCTAATTAGCAAGCGGTAATTACCGCAATTACCGTAATTAACGCTAATTATCCTAATGACCCACCTCACCGTAATTATTTACTCAATTACCATAATTAACCCTAATTACTCTAAGGACCCACTTTGCCGTAATTACCTCAATTACCGTAATTACCCCAATTACCATAATTAAGCCTAATTACCGTAATGACTGACCTCACCATAATTACCCGTAACCATAATTAATCCTAATTACCGTAATTACCATAATTAATCCAACCCCCCACAAACCCCCCCCCCCCCATTCACCCTAATTACCCCTAATTAACCCCTTTTTCCCCTCCCCCCTCATTACCATACCGGGGGAGGTGGGCGTGGCCTCTCACGGTGACCACGCCCCCCTCCCCAGCCCATCCTAAGCCCCGCCCACCTGGATCACCTGATCAACAACGACCGGAAGCTTCCGCCGGAGTTCGCGCTGCCCCACGCCTACGTGGAGACGCAGGTGAGGGGCGGGGCCTGGCGGGAGACGCAAATGAGGCGTTAATTATGCTAATTGGGGGGGTTGTGGGCGGGGCCAGTCGTTGCAGATCGCGGCGTTCCTGTTCACGGTGTGTCACGTGGTGCTGCTGGTGCAGGATTGGTTCACGGACCTGGGGCTCTACAGGTGGGGACAGGTGACCCCTGAGTGACCCCTG